TAGGTGAAATAAACTACCCAGGTGTACACAAGTAGCTAGTGGTCCACCTGGATTCAGCACTAGGCAGTGTGATCCAGAGCAAGTGCTCTTAAGACAAAATTAAAAAAAACCGGGGGGTGGGGGGGTGGGCCGCGGGGAGGGAGGGTCCTAAAAATATCCATTGTGCAGTTTATAGCTTAGACTCAATCACTGTATGTACCAAACCACTTTCCCCAAACCCAACAAATATTTGATGAATTTTTTGATGTTAACTTGTGAAGATCAGTGACTCTAAAAAACCTGGGTGTTTGCAGATCCCTATGAGACTTAGAAGGCCACAACTTCCTCTTGGTCCAAAAACTGCATGAAAAATTTGCATATCATTTCCAGAGGTTCAAAGGCCCTGCGAAAAGTCCTCCCGGTAGACCCCATGGAACCTGGGTCAAGAATCCTGATTTAGAACAACGCTAAACTCTATTAACATGAAAAATTGAGTTAATGGAAAGAGAGGAAGCTAAACTTGTGTAGGAAAACTGAAATGTATATAGGGTTGTATGACCTCAGACAACCTACCCACCTTTTTTCTATCATAGCTATCGCTTCCCTCTTTCTCTACCAGTCCAAGTTTATTGTCAAGTTCAACAAGGTAATATCTGATCACTGCTTTCAGTTCCCCAGAGGAACGTGTCCCACTCTTTTTTGAGAATTCCCTTCCAGGTTCCCTAGTCCTAGGAAATTTGCAAACCCAAATTAGTGACATTATTCCTATGGGTATACCAAAAATAGATGTGAAGGCCTGTTTCCAGTCCCCTAAGCCTGGAGCAGCAAAGATCTGGCAATAGAGACTTTAGGTCGCATGCATCACCTGTGGGCTAAATTGCTGTAGCGATGAAGCTGCTGGGTAGACTCAGGGAGGGTGTGTGTGTGTGTGTATGTGTGTGTGTGTGTGTGTGTAGGTGAGGGGAGACAAGGGAAGAAGGAAGTGGCATTGTCAGCTAATGGGAGAAACAGATTTCTAAGAGGCTGTAATACTGAGGCAGGAGGTAGAAGCCTCCCTCCCACCCCCCATCCACCAGGGTAATGTGATTGGAGATTAATCCCTAAGCACTGAAACTCCAAGAAGAGATGAGCAGAACAAATAAGGGAGGAAGCTGGGCCCTGCCCAGTCCACGTATTTCTTGTTCTCAAAGTCTGAAGACCTCCCCGATCACACATGTGCAGGAAAGCTCCTTGGAGGTCAGAGGGGAGTGATGCTAACTAATGCCAAGCTACCCATATGCCTTTTCGGTAAAATCCATCTAGGCTAAGAGATGCATGCATGCACACACATGGGAGAATCCTGAAATATACCGAATATGGACTGTGAACCAGGCAAATCAAAATGATTGACTAAAGAAAACCCTGGAAGAAATACCCCATAAAAGTCATTCAAACTGCCACAAGGGCACGACTCACTGACTCTCTCTCAGAGTCCCCTCGTGTGTCTATCCACACCAACTGTACTCTTTTTCCCTCTTAATAAACACTTCACTTATCTCACCACCTTCTATCTTTGTGGAAATTATTTTCTGCAAAGCCAAAGGGCCAGGGCCCTTGTCACTGACCACTGATCTAGGAGCTAGGATCTGGTACTTTCATTGCCATACCCTGGTCTCAATCTCTGGCTGGGAACCCAAGCCCTGCTCCAAACCATTGCGGGCTGAGGCCACACGAGATCATATCCTATGGTTACCTGGAAACCATGTCAACTCCTCCCTACTCCCATCACCAAAGAACTAGGGCTGGTTGAGCGGCAAGGAACTAAACCTCTCCTCTTCTAACCTGCTACCCAGCTGCCCTTTGGCACTTTCCCCACCCTCCCCTTTAAGGTTATTTTTGGTGCCTGTTTTAACAAATTTCACTTTAATACAGAAATTGAGGGTTAGGAACAAGGCCCGTACCATGGGATTTCCATGGGGTCAGTCTCAGATAATACAGACAATGATTTATATTTATTGAGCATTTAGAATGAGCTCCATCCTGTGCTAAGGGCCTTGTGTACATAATCTCATTAAATTATCCAAACAGTCCACAAAGGAGCTTTGGTTAATATTTTCATTTTACAGATGAGACAGTTGAGATTCAGAGTTAGTGGTAAATGGAGGATCTGACCACGAGGTTCTTACTTCCAGTCTTTTGGCTGCGATGGGCCCCAGTGGCAAGGCTGGGTTTTAGGGATTTCCCTGAGTGGAGTACCTATGGTGGGACTCCTGCCCTTCCAGGCTGTCCTGAGTCCCCGGACTCTACCTTCCCCAAGTTCCTCCCATTGTTTTCCCTTCAGCTTCCACTGCTGGCTCCTTGCTGCAGGCCTTGTTCAGTAGTCTAGCTGGTCTCTCGAGGCGGGCCTTGGCCTCCTCCGTCCCCCATTCTGGATACCAGGGAAGCTCTTCTTCTCGGACTTTGCTTTGGGCCCCCACCTTCTGCTCCTAAACAGCCAGTCTTCCATTAACTCTAGAATAAAACCGAGCACCATGACTACATGCTTTCTCTTCCCCTTCTCTTTCCAGACTGTACAGTGTTTATCCTCTTGAGTTGGCTTGTGTTCTGAGATGTGTCTGTGTGTGTTTGTATCAGTTCAGTTCAGTCGCTCAGTCGTGTCCGACTCTTTGCGACCCCATGGACCGCAGCACACCAGGCCTCCCTGTCCATCACCAACTCCTGGATCCTACTCAAATTCATGTCCATCGAGTTGGTGATGCCATCCAGCCATCTCATCCTCTGGCATCCCCTTCTCCTCCCACCTTCAATCTTTCCCAGCATCAGGGTCTTTTCCAATGAGATTATATATGTGCATGCCTGTGTGTGTGTGTGTGTAATCTCAAAACTGTTTAAAATTCATTTTAATATTTATTTATTTATTTATTTTATTTGGCTCCACCGGGTCTTAGTTGTGGCATGTGGGACCTCTAGTTATGGGCATCAGAACTCTTAGTTGAAGCTAGTTCCCTGACCAGGGATCAAGCCCAGGCCCCCTGCCTTGAGAGCTTGGAGTCTTAGCCATTGGACCACCAGGGAAGTCCCTAAAATTCATTTTTTTTTAATTACTTACTTTTAACTGGAAGATAATTTCTTTACAATATTGTGCTGGTTTCTGCTATGCATCAGCCTGAATCAGCCATAGGTGTACATGTGTCCCGTCCCTCTTGAACTGCCCTCCTACCTCCCACCCGGACCCAAACCTCTAGGTTGTCGCAGAGCATTGGGTTTGAGCTCCCTGCATCATACAGCAAATTCCCACCACCGTTCTATTTTACATATGGAATTGTATATGTTTCAAAGCTACTCTCTCTATTTGGCCCACCCTCTCCTTCACTGTGTTCAAAAGTTTGCTTTTATGTCTCCATTACTGCCCTACAAATAGGTTCATCAGTACCATCTTTCTAGATTCCATATATATATATATGTGTGTGTGTGTGTGTGTGTGTGTGTGTGTCTAAAATTCATTTTAATGGTTTACATTGCCATGGGTCCTTTGAAGAAAGGATAATTAAAGGATAAATGTATCCTTTAATTAAACATGTAAATACTCATTTATTTCCCAGTGGCACTAGATGAACTCACCCCTTTTCCTTAGAAAGACATCCTCACTCCCTCCATAGATTGAGATCCTGCCTCTCTCAGGTCCCAGCTCAAACTTCCCCAGTTCTGGAAAGCCTCCCAGTGCTCTAGGCCCGAATGATCACTCCTCCCAACCTTGGTTCTTCATGTGACCTCACAAACTGGGATTAAGCACATCCTGAAACCCCAGTGCTTCCCTGAGTTAGACCTGGGTGTCAGTCCTACTCTGCCAGTTCCAGCAAAGTGACCTTGAACAAGTCATTTAATCTCTGAGTCTTGGTTTTGACATCCATACTACAGGGACAGTGCCATCTACTGTACATGGTGACTATAATGGCTAAATAAAACACTGCATACACAGGATTTTAAGCAGCAGTGTGCCTGCTGGCTGGGATTGTAGCTTCTGGACCCAAGCTGCTTGGGTTCAAACCCTGGCTCTGCCATTTACTTGGATGAGCTATTGAACTCTCATGCCCCAGTATCCCTCTCTGTAAGACCGGGATGGTAGGTGTATTATGAGGAATAAATGAGTTGATACATGTAAGGTACTCAGATGCCTGGCACAGAGAAATTGATCAAGAATGTCAGCTGTTGTCTTGTAACACATCCTTCATCCTCACTTCAACATGGCATTTGCTATCACCGTTGCTAGACTGAACGGCCTCACTACCGGGACAATGCCTGTGTGTTCTTTTATCCCTGAGCCCAGTACCCTGCCTGGCATGCGGGCAGGAGCTTTTTAAGCTGCTGAACTCACCATAACGGGCGCTGTGGAACCATGCAGAATACCCCCAGCAGCCTATAGAGGCAAAGGACGAGGTTTCCAGACTGTGAGCGCCAGGAGCAAACGCTGGGTGGGAAGGAGACTGGGGATACAGGTTGACAGCTTTTCTCCTCCCATCCCCAGCTCACCCCCTCGCCCAAGGCCAGGCGTTTAATCCAGCGGACTCAGTGAGTGCAGTCAAGGCAGGCACTGGACCCCCCATCCGGGCTGGAGGTGGGGTGGGGGTGGGGCTTCAGACCTCACCTGAGGTGGGGGAGGGGGGCGCAGTCCCGTCTACCTCCGCCCCCCATTCAGGGTCCTGCTGGCTTCTCTCCTGCCCTCACCGCCTGGGGGAGCCCAGCCGGACTTGGGCGGGCCTCCGTGCCCCGAAGCTTCCCTTCCAGCCACAGCCCGGGGCCTCCCCGCTTGGCCACACCTCCCCGGGCTCCGCAAGGGTTAAGGCGGCCGCGGAGAGGAGAGGTTTGGGCTGACGTCGCGTCGACTGAAGGTGGTTCCCCTCGGGTGAGGATGGGAGAGCCTGGCGAGCTGAAACCCGAGCTCCCGCTCAGCTGGGGCTTGGGGAGGTCCGCGTAGGAGCCGCCGGCCCGCCGGGCTCCCTTGGTCCCTCCGCAGCAGTCACTCCGGGCACGCCGCGGGAACGATGGAGCTGGGCTGGTGGCCGCAGCTGGGGCTTACTTTCCTGCAGCTCCTTCTCATCTCGTCCTTGCCAAGAGGTACTGTGAGTTGCATCCAGGACCCCCAGGAGGGGACTTTTGTCTCCTGGGTTTAGTTAGGGGGCAGGAGCAGGGTGTCCCAAGAGAGGTGCTTGTGTGTCTGTGGGTGGTGGTGGTGAGCTTTCTCCTAGTGGGAATCTTGGGGGCTTGGCTGGTGGTACTGAAGTGTCCCCCTTTCTTCCTAAGAACGTGACACCGTTTTTCTGCCATCCCAACTTGTAGGACTGAACTGCCTCAGGAAACATACCAGCTTCAGTTTTATGTGCCTTTTTTTTTTTTTAAAGCTTTTTAAAACACGAAATTATCGCTGGGGTTCTACCGAGGCTCAGGTGCCCCCTCTGCCAGGCAAAAGCCCAATCTCTACCTGGAAAAATCCCCCTCCCAGGTGAGCTGGGAGGAAAGAGGTGAATAAGAGCAGGGCTTGCAGCGAGGCTGTTTGTCCTGAAGCATCTTGTTGAGGAAATCTCACACTACAACCGTTCAGACCAGATTCCCAGCAAGGAAGAGGTGCTCACTCAGCATATATACACTTCCTTTCCGATAAGGATGAGAAAGAAGAAGAAAAAGCCGGGGTGAAGAGTGCAAGTTGATTTTTGGGATGCCCAGAGTTTATTTAGAAAGAGCTGTGGCTTCTGTGTTTTTCACATGTCATTTTCTGAGCCACAAACCCCACGTCAGATGGGCTCCTGGGGCAAGTGGGGTTGAAACAAGACCCAGACAGAGCTCTTGGGAGCCTCTTGACCCAGCAGAAGCAAGGGGAGAGCAGGCTTGTCCTGTGACTGTTGCTGGACAAGCAGGGAAGGAGGACTTCTTAGGAGCATCCGTCCTATGGCTACAGAGGCTAGGTGTCAGGAGGCAAGGTGAGACCTCAGGAGGTAAGATGCATAGATGATAAAATAGGGCAGCTTTTCGGGAGGAGCAGGGAGTGTGTGAGCCTTTGCTTCTCCCCTCTGTGGGAGTTACCTGTCACCTGCGCTGATGACCTGTCACCTTTGCTTTATTAAGAAGTGCATGCTTCGCTGCTGCATGGAGCTGGCAAGCGCCAACAATGGAACAGAGGAAGTTGGGTGGTGAGGGTGTAGAAAGCCATCAGCTACCATCGAAGGGAAGCTGAACCTCAGCACACATCCCTTCATGGTAAATGAACAAAAACTGAGATACATGAAAAGCACACCACCCCCCCCCCCTCCATTTTAGTCAATACTTTCCATCTACCTGTAGCCTGCCAGCCCCAGGTGAAATCTTCTTTGGTGATTTACTCTCAGGCTGGAGAGTGTTTCATTTGAATTTTGCCCTATTGAGGTCTGGAACAGCCCAGTATTGTAGGGAGAAGGAGCCCGGGAGGGTGGAGTCTGGTAATCCTTTAACCTAGCCACTTGCCCGGGCTTAGTTGGTGACTGTTCCTTAAGACTTGTCCCTGTTCCACCTCTGCCTCTTGGTGCCAACCTTCTAGGGGGGCACGGTGGCCCAAGCCCAACTCCAGAGGAGCCTACTTTCTTCTACAGTGCCAGGGCTTCCAGCTTTAGTTTTCTTGTCCCTGCATCTCTTTTTCTAACATGGCAGGTGAGATGGCTGAAACCCATAAAAGCTAAAAACTAAAGCTCAGCTGCCCTTTTTTCCATTTCCAGGATCTGAAAAACCCCTTTATCCCTGACCTGAGAATCTTTTGTACCTTTAACTAAAGAAAGAAAGATGACTCTGTTAAAGAATCGCCTGCCAATGCAGGAGACAGGGGTTCAATCCTTGGGTGGGGGAGAGCTTCTGGAGAAGGAAATAGCAACCCACTCCAGTGTTCTTGCCTGGTGAATTCCATGGATGGAGGAGCCTGGCTGGCTACAGTCCATGGGGTCATAAAGAGTCGGACAGGACTTAGAGACTAAAACAAAACCAACAACAACAACAACAAAAAACAAACAGAAAAGAAGAGCTTCAGGAGGGTGCCTGGCATCTGGGCAGCCAAGCAGCTGACTGAACCGGAGAGCAAGGCTATTTCAATGTCTGTCAAGCATTCACGTTTAAAGGGAGCACAGAGGGATAGAGTGGAGAAGGAAAATATTTCAAGTTGTGAGCGAGTGAGTCCACTCCCTGCTGGAACTCTGAATCTGGCCCCCGTCAAGGAAAGCTTAGCAACATATTTCCTCTAATTACTTTTCTAAAAAGAGCATTTGATGAAATGTAAACATCCACTGGGATGGCACGGCAGACGGTTGTTGCTCATCGACTCGGGACACGTGTCTGAGGATGAGAATCCAAACATCAGGCCAAATGATAACCCAACACAAACAGCATGTGAGGGGAGAAACCCAATTCCACTGACTTCACCAAATAGCAGAAGCTCTGCCAGCAGGATCCAGCCTAAAAGGAACAACTCATTGAAAAGATGTGACTCTGGGGAATGAAGCCTTCACATGAATAACTTCACAAGTGTTGCTTCCAACAGACATTAGCTGGTGGGGAGCGAGCATCCAGGCAATGGGGAGGATAATTTGAAGCCCAGATATGCAGTGGGCAGGAGCAACCAGTCGAGAAAGGGAATGTGGAAAGAAAGCAAGGCGGAAGGAGTGGCAAGAAAAATTAGATGTTGGTTTATAATGGGATGTGTTAGCAAATTCCAAGGATAGAGCTATGAAAATTGGGCCTTCTTGGCAGGGCTAGATTTTTGTGGGGACTATGAAGAGGGTGTTCCCTTGATATATATATATATATATATATATATATATATATATATATATACTCTGAGAACCTCCAGCTTTTCCAACAGGGAAATAATTTGATGGTGGGATCATGGGTTTCAGGAGCTAGGCGTGACTGGAGAGATCATTTAGTCAGAGTACCTCAAAGGATGAGGAGAGTAAACATCTGAGCGTTTATGATGGGCTCAGTGTTTAAACCAAAGCAGGGTAGGTGCTGTTATTCCCCAGGTGAGGTTTAGAGAGGGTCTGTGACCTGTTCAAAGATATACAGGCACGGTTCCTGAAAAAGTGAAACATTTGATATAGCAATTCCACCTCTGGGAATAGATACAAAATAAATGAAGGCAGAAACTCCAGCAAATATTCCTACACTCATGTCCACTGCAGCACTATTGTCAGCAGCGAAAAGGGAGAAACAACCCAAGTGTGGGTAAACAGAATATGGGTCTATACATACAATGGAATACTATTCAGCCTTAAAAAGGAGTGAAGTTCTGATTAAAATGCCAACATGGATGAGTCTTGGAAACATGATGCTTAAGTGAAAGAAGCCAGACACAAAAAGATAAATACTGTATGATCCCATTTATGTGAGGTGCCTAGAGGAGTCAGATTCATAAAGGCAGAAAGTAGAACAGTGGTTACCAGGGGCTGGAGGAGGAGGAATTGGAGAGTTAGTGTTTAATGGGCATAGAGTGTCAGTGAGGACTGATGATAACATTATGGAGATGTATGGCGGTAATGGTTACACAGGCCATTGGACTGTACACTTAAAAGTGCTTAAAATGGTAAATCTGTGTTATTTACATTTTGCTGCAGAAATGATTTCCAGGTGGCACTAGTGGTAAAGAACCCTCCTGCCAATGCAGGAGATATAAAGAGATGCAGGTTCAGTCCCTGGGCCTGGAAGATCCCCTGGAGAAGGAAATGGCAACCCACTCCCGTATTCTTGCCTGGTGAATCCCGTGGACAGAGGAGCCTGGCAGGCTACAGTCCATGGGGTCGCAAAGAGTTGGACACAATGGAAGTGACTTAGCACAGTACAGCAATAATGATAAAAAGAAAATACAAGAAGATCAGTAGAGCCTGGGGTGAGCCCAGACTGTCAGATTCCTGAGCTCAAGTTCACCTGGTACCTGGCTGACAAACACACAGCTAACAGCCTCCTACACTGATGCACATGTAATCATGGCATGGCTTCAGGACACGCGCGGCAGGAGAGGGTCCTTGCTGTCTCCCATGTGGGTACCACTCTTGTGGTGTCATAGGGTGACTCTGGCAAAGAGGGAGACTATAGCATGGAAGAACTGGCAGCCTTTGGGTCAAAGGTCTGCAGAAGTATTTAGTAGGTAAACGGCAACCCACTTCAGTATTCTTGCCTGGAGAATCCCATGGATGGAGGAGCCTGGTGGGCTACGGTCTACGGGGTCGCACAGAGTCGGACACGACTGAGAGATGTCACTTTCACTTTAATGCTTAAAAGGTTTTGAACCTGAATGCTTTGAGGTGGTCTGGGTCCTCTGTGTGGTCTGACACCCCACTTCTCAGTTCACAGGTGTCTTACCTGCTAGTCCCTGCTTATATTTGCCTTGTTGACCTCTGTTCCTGGGAGGGATGGGGGAGAAATGGGATGTGAAAGAGAGAAAGTGGAAAGCTGGGTGCTGAATGGGGAGAAGTACAAGTGAGCATTTTGCAGCGGACAGGAACATAAATATATTTTCACTTGTGTGTGTTGTGGAACACAATCTCATCTCTATGACCACCAGTGAAACATTTTATGAATGCCCTTGAGGGTGAGCTGTTGGTTGAAGTTGAGGGTGAGGTTGGGTGTTATATCTGGGTCAGTAAACTGGGGACAAAGCACCTTTGGACCCAGAGGCAGAGATGACCTGGAGCATGTAAGTCCCTTAGAAATATCCAGAAGCCTTAGGGAGGGCTTTGGAATGCTACTGGCAGGGACTGTGGGTTTGACTTAAATTTATCTGCCTCTGGATTACCCTGGCTAGACAGCAACAGCTGAGATTATGGTGTCTCATGGTGTCTGGAGGGCCTAATGATTAGCCTCAAGTCAGAAAATTATTTCCATCTGCCCTCCGAGGGGTGGCCGATCCCAGTGCAAGAGAAAACCTCTCTACCTGCCTTCCGTGAGCGCAGTTCTAGAAGCTGCAGTTGATTTGGGGGGAGGGGTGTACATTTCAGTAATAAATGAGGGAAAGTGATACCCTGCTCCTCCCGTCATGTGGGAGGACCTGTCACCCCCACTTTGTGGATATTTGAAAGTCACAAGAGCCCAGATCCCTCTCCTCT